TCTCATTGATTTCTTCGTGCTTGGACCGGATTGTAAACAACAAATCTAGTCTTATTTGCTATGTATGTCATTCTGTCACGGGTTTTTTTTCAAAACCACAGATACTGTGGTCTAAGACAACGGCCAAATGATTAAAAGTCGGGTAATTCCACTACATTTGTCACATGGGGCATAAATTTGTTTCTATAAGCAGCGATGAGCGCCCTCTTTTTCACATTCTCTTCTAATCCACAAAACTCAAACTTCGTCGAGTTAGGATCTTCATGACGGCACTTAAATTTTGATTCGCTCTCCTCTCTGCATATGTTCATCCACATACATCGCATGTGTGACCGCCCTCTGGAAATTGCGGGTGGTTGCCTGAAACCCAGAAACCGAACGGAACCGTGTTGCCAGATAAAATAACCAGATAAGATAACATTTAACATGAGTGTCATATTAGTTCAGACACGACCCAGTCGACAATATGGGTTCAAGACCCTTCCGCTGATCTGAAGTCTAGCGGAACAAATGGGACTAAATCCGCTGTATATTAGTCGATTTTTTTGAGCGTTGACAAAAAAAACATAATTTCATCAAACATCGTACTGTTAGCGTACGCACAGAAGGCATATATATCAGATAGCGCGCGCATTAAAGAATCAATTGAAAAAGCTTACTAACACAGAGAAACCAAAGCAGTATATCAATGATCACAGAATCCACGCTGACAGTAACACAACAATCGGGCAGATATTTCCACCCTAACAAAACGATGGAGGACGGGAACTTCAAGGAGAATTATCTGTAGTACCTCAAAATAAACACCATTCACTACTTCTATTCCTGACTTTTGTTGTTGACTTGCTTTGACAAAATTTGGCGTTTTACATCTCCTTGAGTGTGACGACGTAGTTGCACACAATCCAGTTCCAGTCCACCAAATTACTTGAATAAGGCTCGTTGATATGATGTCGTTTCGTTACTGATCATGAATTTCACTCTTTAGGTTAAGTTAGCACTTAGTTCATTGGTTGTCAATGTGCATTACATCCAGTGCTTGTTTCCTTCTCGCATTAACTTGTCACTTTCCCCTTCAAGTTAGATGACCGACGAAGTATCCGAGACGATCAGATAAAAAACCAGTAATACTTTTGTTATTTTATCAAGACTTGAAGTAGCAACCCAAAAACGATCGAACCTCATTTGGACGGGACAATTTTTTTAATTTTTCGCCAGCGTCGTTTACCTGAAAACTTGTGATGGTTGCCCACCTAGTTCCGAAAGCCGGAGGGAGCCCGCACAAAGCAATCTTAATTGGGCATTGGCTGGTAACTTTACTTCCCCTAAGTCTTTGGCCGATGTAAAAAAAAGTCTGCCTTACAGCGATGTTTGCTTTAATGTGGCCACTTCATAAATGATCGCTTCCACTAACTTAAGAAAAACATTTTCAACCAAGGCACTAATTTCCCAATTTCCCTACTCATAAGTGGGGCTATCAAATAACAGGACAAAAAAGTACATTATCCATGAACGGCTAGAAATGATGCTTCAGTTATTAATACTGTATTACTTGTATGGAACAGCCAGGTTTTCTTCCAGCATACTAGGTTAAGCCTTGTCGCAAGAGTAACTGTTGTCAAACCGAAAATTATTCAGATGCAGATTTGCCGAGAATGCCTCTTACACTATGCATAGCAGACCTACTGGATGATACAACTCACAGTAAGATGAACACGGTGTTAGACCTGACCAGAAGCTATCACTTAGCGTAAAAACTGGCACAGTTTGTAGAACTACATTCCGATTCCCATTACTCTGAATGAATAAACCATCGAGTCCTACAGTCAACTCATCGACTGGATACCTTCTAATTATCCACCAGCTCGTTATGATGTAGGTGGGATAATTTTGCACTGAGTAGAAACACTACAGCCGAAGATCCATGCATAGTTTTAAGGCTTTCAACCTGCTATTTTGAGCCTGTCAGCGTGGGATGGTCAGCATGCGTAAGCGGGGTGTGTAGCGCTGAAGTAGAGTAACCTAGTTGCATGCACACGACTAAAGTAGAACATCGCACCAAATGCCCTAAACGATCGGTCTTGTGTCTAGCAATATTGATACAATCCTGAAAACGTACTCTTGTAAACAACAGGTGGTGATTAGACAGAAAAACGTAAACATTGGAGATGTTAGCGATTTACAGACGTCAAATGGTTCGTCGTTAGACGAAAAAAACCTATAACATTTACCACTATGTCAACCTTATTAATAAACTGGGACCTAGATATCTTTACCCTACGGGGAGTCCACTTGCCAAAACCATCTGCTATAAGTAGTTGCTTCTTGTCTAGAGGAATGAGCATAGTACGTCGCACGAATATCCAGTTAGATGCAAACCCTTAGGCATCCCGTTAGGAGTTGAATATTCTACCCTTTACCTATATGTATCCTTAGGATTTGCTTCCGAATTTCGCCGCTATCCTCTAACTGATCGACGAACTCTGCAATAACTGGTACCCTGTTTGTGTTACATGCCAAAATCAGTAAGTTGTCCATGTAGCTATTCATTTTTTTAAATGTGAACGAGGAAGTAGGAGATAGAAAAGCCACAAATTGATTGTGGGATGCAACAGTTTCCATCGACGAGAACCTTCCCACAATCTTTCCGCGCTATACGTGAGCCTCATTAACTCCTTGCCTAGTTCGTGTCGAAGATAATGGTAGTTAATTTTTTAAGCATGTAATCTAATGTGTAGAACGCTACCTTTTCATCTCTCAAGGTCATATACATGACTCAGGCCTGAGGTATGTGAGGACCATGCTGTAGCCTTTTTGGTTCAGTGCGAAAATGCACCGTCATTACACTGGAAAATCTTCCTCGGCAAATGATCCTTTTGTCAGCGGCTTGACAAAAGGATTACGTTCCCAATTCCTGATCTATAAAGCAGCTAATGGTACCAACTGACCTGACAGATTAGCGCAGTATGCAAAGATTTTTCCTCTGTTTATAGGTGAGAATCCCAGTTATGTAGAAATGTGCTGAGCAAACTGTAGTACTTTACCTATTCGTGCACATCAGGCCAATGACAAAAGCAACCAGCGGTTTTACGGAAGTGGAAAGTCACGCGTCAGCAAAGAGAAAAAAGTTTTCATTTTATTGGCAACATTAAGCGCTAAATTACATGTGTAGCTAGCGGACGGAACATCCTCATCGGCTTTTTGTGAGTAATACGACCAGCATCATCGTAGCTAATTTCATTCTTCAAAACTAATGCTTCACTTCCGTACAGCCATTATTTAGTTGTAAGTCTTACTGTGAAAAGAAGAATAAAAGCGGATGGGAAGGAACTTATTGCTAGTCTGTCAGTCAAAGCTATCTATATTTCTTCACTCAGGTAATCCCGATAAAAGATGATAACAGAAGCTTTAACGACATGAACTAGCAGCTATATCTTGCCACGTTTCGGCTATACATAGGAGAGGACCCATCGTGGAGTTAGATCGCCACGAAAGCACCCAGCATTTTCGCAATCTCTTTCATGCTCCTGTATCAGGGCAGAGGGCGGCGAGCTCCCCGCTTGCGTGTTTTTTTTAGTCGAGCACTCAAAACATCACCCTTATGGGCAAAACGATGATTTGACATTCACCGCGCATAAAGCTTTTGGTGCGCTTTGGAAATCCAGGATCAGTTATGTACGCGGCGCAGTCCTAAAACCTGAGATTTCGCATCGCATTATTGTTTGTTGCGGAATGCTAGTACATCGCCGTTTTTAGAGGACAGGTCTACATATATGCTCCAATCCATATTCTGAAAGCCCAAGAGACTGTGCTGGTCAGACCTCTAACTGATGACTAACCTCCATGGGTGTAGCATGGACACCGCCCAGTGTAGCTGGACGGAATACGTAGACATACTAACCGTCACTCCGAGGTAAGGTTCGGGCCCTTCGTGATAGATATGAATGACACAGACAAATCGATACAGAATTTCTATCTCGTAGTTTTGTTTGGTTACAATCGTTTTGAATATATAGCTAATCAGCTTATAATAAGAATATTACATGTTTGTCTCCCGCTATCAGGAGTAGGATGACCCCAACCTAAATATTCATTGACGTTCATCATCTGGTCAGTCTATTTGTGTCCGGTAAATGTAGCACTCTCGTTCCATTTAATACGCCTAACTTTCTGCGTCGTTTAATGAATGCTGTCAATTGTCAGATCAGTAGAAGGAGCATCGTAAGCAACATTACTATTATTATTATCGTTGCTGTCGTCATCATCGTCATCATCATCTAGGGAAAATATCATCAGAGTTAACACTGAGGCTCCACTGCATTACAACCAGGAAATGGTGGGTGAGGGAGGGATCTGGTACCGACCCCTCGCAGGCTATCTGACGTGCCCTCAAGAGCTCTGTCAGAATCTGGAAAGAAACTGTCAGCAAGAACTCCACTGACATCAACCAACCGCCGCATTTTGCAATGCCCAAGATAATCACTGATGAATTGCATCAACAGCGCCCAAACTCTTTGTAACCCCTTTTAAGTCCTTCTTTCACGTCGTGCGTTGTTTATTTCACAGTTTGCGATACTGACATGCAGAATCGTTAGAATTTAGAGCTGTTGTAAACATCTCTTCCTCTCAACTATTTCGAACTAGGATTGGAGATACTAAGGTTGCTAAAACGATCAACTTTCCTACCACTGTCATAAGGTGATACCTTTTATACTCTTCAAAATGACGAACTGATATGGGTTATTCTGCTACCAAACAACAGACGAATACTTTTCATGTGTGAAGGAAGACTTTGTTCCCCATGGACTGACATCTTCCATGCGAGATAACAATGACGAAATTGCCAAATACTTATGATATCATAGTGTTTTTCAAGGTTTCACTATTTCACCTAAATTTATCTCCGTGGATTCGCTAACATATCCTGATTTCTTGTTTGTCCAGCGCACACAGATTTGTTGGACTTTGACATCAGCAGTCGGTCAAAGTTTGAGAAGAAAATGACCTCAAAAATAGAAGAATTCGAGACACAGGCTGAGGAAAAGCCTCAAGAGAATGGAATGGTTGAAGAACAATATGTGACAATTGCTCCCTCACCGCTACCGCGCATGAAGCAATACATGGCGAAGAAGATTCATAAACAGTCGACGGTAATCTCTCGGTCGCTGAAACTAGATCACAGGCCGGATCGAGCACTAGATAGTTTCCAAATAATTGGAGCGCTAGAAAGTTTGTTTATTGGAGTTTACAATACCAGCATTGCCAGGCGATCATTGGATCCGTCAGCTCAACAACGAATGTGCACAATCCCACCGCTCTCCTATTTCGAAACAGTATACAGTGACCCTTTAACGAAACCCAAAGCAGCAGAATCGACAGACGTAAAAGGGCCATATGTCAGGGGCCGGTCCAATGAGTCAGGATCACCCTCAAGTGCTGAGGAATCTGATGTTTTATTGAACGAAGCTGGCCCATACGACGTGAGTTCCATCGTTCACATGTACTTTAGTTGAGTCGAACGTCTGGATAATCCGTTGGCACTTTTACGCCCGCAGAAATAACTTGTAGACTTATCCATCATGTTCATTTCAACGAATTTTTGTAGCCTTAAAGATGTGAAGCTGAACTGTTTATATTGTCCGTCGAAAGGAAACCTTCCAGTAGTTTTCAGGATATCCAGGTCTGAATATTTCACTGAGAGTAATCTTAATTTTAGTTTTAAGGTAAAGAAGCATTTTCTTGATTTGATCTCTAAAGTCTTGTCAGCGTAAACCATTCCTACTTGTTTCGACCTGGAATTTCATCAATAATTGCCTCAGCAGACCTGTGCCATGTGGGTGCATTCAGATGAAGTTCCTCGAATTTTCCAACACGTGGTTGGATTGCACAATCTACTGTTTCCGAAGAACAAATTCAATCCGCAACGCTCCACGTTTCCTCCTGTTACCAGAAACTCTGAACAGATTTGGGCTGTTCGACAAAGAAACCCAAGTAATACAGTAGACTGCGACCGACGAACAATTTATTCATACAGGATCCGCAACAAGGCCCCTCAGGCAATTTTGCTTACGCCCGAGTAGTTAAGATATACCAGAAAAGTCACATACCGCAACAGTTATATGATTGAAAAACTGAACACAGCTTTAATCAAAGTGTTATACTGCCGTCAGTTCATACACATCATGGAACATAGGTTTTCAAAAGACAGTGTCACCACCTGAACTGATGAAATTCCGGTTACACAAATACGGTTAGCCTTTGGGATATCCAACTGTTGCGCCTCAGAACTCCTATTGCAGTGTCCCGGAATAACTAGTACAAATATGTCCTGGTTGACTGTTGGACGTCCCATATCGTGTTACACAGTTTTACTGAAAGTGTCCAATAGACAGCTTCTTAGAACTATAAACTTGAGTGGGCCTCCACTGGAAACTGTTGTCCGAAACGTGGTTTGTCCTTTTAGTGCGATTGTGGGCAGGTTGTACCACAATCTGTTCCATGAATTTATAAACTTTGCTCTGTTACTTATACTACTACCTAACCAAACGACGATTACACCCTGGTAGACATGTTAGTTGCTGGACCTGTCAACTTTGTTGAAAATGCCTGGTCACCAATAGTTGTGACGTCATCAGTGCGTTGTTGCAAAGGTTGGTGGCTTTGCGTTGAGTAATGGTGTGCGTGAGTTTATATAGTTGCTTCTAAAATGCGTGACCTTCAATTGTGATCGATTGTTATGAGGACTACCCTTATTGATCGGACTTTTCAATTGTGTTCAAACTGTCAGTCCTTGGTGCAACGAGCACAGCATCAAAAATAACAGAAAAAGATTATGTGCATGGATTAGCGAACGATTCAGTTCGCTATCCCTTCTTCGTATAGTTGCATAGCCCAGGATTAGTTCTACATGTCGGTTGTTTGGGTTCATTGCCGAGTGGCTCGCTTTCCTTGTGTGCTTGGTTCATCCACACGCCGCAATCTTTGTGCCTTTGGCACTTACCTGCTGACCACAAATGAAGATCAACGAGGACAGGTGATGCCTTCGTGTTTGCTAATTCGTGTGTTTAGTCTCATGCGGGCCCCCTCCCCCAATGCTGTGCTTGTTACTTCAAGGTCAGTCAGTTAGAACACCAGTAAAAAGTCTATCCAATAAGAGTACTCATCATGACAACCAATCACAATCAAAAGTCAACCGCATCAGAAGTGAGTATACAAACTCGCGCGCGCCGCTACTCAATGCACAATCACCAACGCATAGCTCCGCTCCTCTTCATAGTGATGTGCATTCACAACACAAATGTCAAGCTCGGTTAAAAACTTGACCACTGACCGGACAATATGAGCTTGAAAAATTCTGTTTTGTTTGAAACCGATACGTTCATGATCGTGGAAGGATGTCAAGAATTCTTTCTAGAGAAAGCAACATAATTTTGGATCACCCTCTGCATACATTTATTCAAATTCAACATTACCTGAGTACACATATGACGTCATTGTTAGTTGCCCAGTTTCTACACAGCGAAGACCTAGATATTCAAAAAGTACATCAACCAAATGCTCCTTGGGCTTGAGTTGAAAACAATATAAAAAAAATGATAATATGATTTGATCTGAAAATCTGAACGGAGATTCCTTAATGCAGGTGAAGCCAGTCTGTGTTGAAAAGCCGAGAAGGATAGTACAGCTCTTCCATTCTTATTGAAAATCATCAGCAGCGAGCATCTCACGAAACTCAATGGAGTTTCAAAACCCCAACCTTTCAGCTAGTAGTTGAGGAAAAACCGTCCTGAGAAGAGCAGCTGCTCAGGCATGTGATTTACTCTTGAACGCACCCTCCTCGGATGGAGGGTGAAGCATTCTTCTTTCTGAGCAACTTACGTTGCTAATGTGAGCATATTTTGGATATTCCGTTAAGGATGAAACTTTTTGCAGCGCTTCTCAGCTCTTCATGCAGATGACGTTTGCAGGGAGAAATCTTTATTGCAATTTCATTCTCCTTATACTGTTGGAAAACCACAAGTAGCTCAGAAGGAAGAAACACTTACATAACGAATGAGGAATCCGTGAGTGACGAATGACTGGCGCCATATTCTGTCTGGGTGCGGGTCATTAACACCGCTGACCATCCGCTGCTAGCCGAACGGTTAGGTGCTCGAACTAATAACCAGACTCCCGGACTTTCGTGAGATACGCAATGGGGACGATTCTCAGTGAGAATGAACCAGGTGTACAGTTCCCCTAGGCCTGGCCTTAAACTTTGACATCAAAACGGGTCAACTGTAATCCTTAGTAGGACCTCAGTAGATCCACATAGCTGAGACTTGATAAGACCAAACGTTGCGCTACCCATTACACTCATAGCTCCATCTCAACACATAATGTCGTTTGAGCAACAAAGCCGCACAGTATTTATGGTGTCCAGTTTGGCGCACTAGGACAACCAAATGCACTAATCAAGATAATATCTGTATTACTCAAACCCCTAATAGCAGTGAGCTAGAAATCGATTTCAACTACCTTTGGCTGCCAAGTCAGTGATCTGGACTTCGATTAACAACGTCATATAAACGCCTAATCACATTCGTCCAACATAGCACTCTTTACATTGACGCTTACCATTGACATTTGTCCTCTGGGCACTTCTTCATTACGAATAGGGACAATGTTTCAGGGGAATAAGATCAGCTTTATTAGTTTGATCTCAACTTGGTGATTTTCCTCCAATCAACTAACTTTTGACCATGTCAGAAATGGTACTTCGCATTTCAGCACTCGTATTACAGTAAACGGTATTATGGTAAATGGTACAAGTGCCTCAATAATAGCATTATTGCCAGAGGACTTCGTTTCCACGTCTGAGGAACCAAGAATGCTGAACGTTTCAAGGTGCACAGGTGTTCAACTGAATGAATTAAGATGTTCACTTTGGCAATCCGGTCAAAGAGTTCATTTGGCTAATTTAGGCAATTACCCAGTGAATTTTCAGCAAACAGCACAGCTTTTTTTTTTGTAGATACACCTCATGCACAACACGAGCAACATATTTCATATGGGGCTAATAATTTCCAGCCACAGAGCTGAGCAACCCAGCTGTGTTTGAAATTTGTGCAATGATTTATGTTCTTATGAGATGGTTTAGCTAAATTAGACATTTGCATGAGTGCGCATGCACGCTGTCCCAAGTGGTATTAGAGTTCTTTCGTAGAATCTAAAGTGCTCTACATCTCTCAGGCCACTGTAGCCTAACCGCTAACCACCAGGAGGCTTTTATCTGGACGGTTCGCGATTCCTGTCAGTCCATCTTATGAATCTTATTCAGATGCTCCATAAAAGTCCTGACGCAGCATATCATGGAAACGCACAAAGCCATACTCATCACTGCTAAAAATGAATTCATTCAAATCTAGCAATACCAAAAGTCGGAACCTGACTGTGCTCACAATAACGCCCAACGGCACTGTTTGGTTCAAACCGTGACAACTAATCACATTAAAAATGACGAAAAATGTGATACCTCAGATTGACATAATTTACTATTCATCAGTTGCTGAAAATTCCTCGGTGGCCTACGACTGGTTTCGCACTTTGTAGGGCTCATCAGGTGGGCGCAGAGCGCAACTACCGGGTTCCCATCAATCTTTTGTTTTACTTGAACCCAAATTGCACGAATTTCGACCTATACAACATCTGAAAACCAATTTGGTTTTGCGGAAAACTCACCTGGAACCCAACTAAATCTCTCGTTCATGCTGTTTTTTAAGCGACTGAATGTGCTGTATATCAAGACTCAACTCACTCGGAATGTTATTGGCTCCAAGAGACTGTTTACTCTTGTGGAAAGACCTAATGAACGAGCTTTCAACTTTCTGTCAACTAGCAGACTGAAAAGGGCTGTTTTTGTTAGACTTTCCAGCTAACACTAATCACAATAAGAGAAGCAAAAAACGCTGTTAAACCAACGTGTAGTTTCAGTCAGAATGAAAATACTCCTTTGTCCAAAGGAAACAGATTACAAATGCTCCAAACTGACGGTGAATTTCAAGCAGGTTAAACATGCGAAAGAGTCGAAATGTGATCGTTAAATTACTACGCCGACGATATATAGGACAGTGATAGAGCACCCTCGATCCGTTCGATTCCGGCCGATGTACGACCACCATCGATCCAGTAGGAATTTAGACTTGTAACAAGTGGAACGATCCGAAACAGCTCAGGACGACCATGTGTTTATAGGCTCAGCTGTGTCAGTTAAAACGACATTCAATAATACGCCTGCCAGTGATGACTCTATTCAGAACTTTCGTACTCAGCTCACTGCTAAAAGTTTGAATAAACACAACCAGAACTTAGAAATCACTTTTCAGATTGAGAGAAACAAAGGGGACCCCGTGCCCAAGGAAGTAACGAAAACCGAAACACTTATTGGAAAGGGAAAGATATTCAACCCTGTGCAATTAGAAGAAGCTCACTTTTCAGAGTAGCAACCAAGCTGTGCTCAAGTCATCCAAATAGGTGCATACGAGATCAAAAGCTATCCCACACTGTTATAACAAGTTTCCAATTCTATGTGGACATATGGAGATCTGTAGGTATTTCAAGAGACTCAGGGAAACTCAAATGAGTTTGACAAGATTTGACTAAGTTTGAGAAAATCCTTGAAGAATTCATCAACAGTGTACCGCATCTCACAGTTTAATTTGGTGTTTTGTAAGCGGCACATCATTTTTAGCCTAAGTTTACTGACCAGCGTCTTTGTACGCCTTGTCTAGCCCGTGTGACCCTAATTTCTTTGTTCTTTCCCAAGACTTACCGAGGCGAGCGAAGAATGGGTATTATAATTCTAATTGAAGGGGCATCGTACTGTTTTCAAAATATGACGGCATTAAATTTGCCGCGACTATTTTGTGGACTCGCCAGAATAATAACTGCTCCAGGATAGGATGATGACACTTCATACCAGAGTGACACGAACGTGGATCTACAAACTAATCAAAAACTTTCCAGCGGGTTTCAGTTGTCCACGGCGCTGTGACTGAGACTGACAGGCGGGTCAGTCGGTGGACACAATCAGAATAATTACGGGGTCGAGTTTCAGGTCACTGGGTCAGCCGTTCACAAGCTAAGGTGTGAACATGTTCCAGATCCGATAACCTAGGTGCGTGTAGCGTGCGCTGGTGGAGTAGTGATGTCACATTCAGACCACATGTCAGATATCTAGGATTCAAACCCCGACACGGCCAGGGATATGCACTGCTGACGAACACTGATAGGGGCGATTCTCGAGTGAAGTGCTGTTCGATGTGGACCCACTAGGATAATAACTACACCTGGACAGGAGGACTTGTTTTAAACGTGAATGATGCGGACGTGGATAATTTAAACAGGCCTCCTCTTGAGAGGAGGAAACGGGCCTAGTACAACGTCGTCAACACAATTGAGGATAGTCCAAAACGTTGCTAACAGGACTTGGTTGGTTGAAGACACCAAATCAAACAGTAACTGAATGGAACCCGTGAGAACACAGTTTTTTAGGAACTGATGAAATCTGGCCATTAAATACAGTGAGCATGACCGTGAAGATGTGTTGTTAGTAATCTAAAAAACCGAGTGGGTTGAAACAAGCCCATAAAAACTAGCTTGTTCATCAGAACTAGCCGGAACCGGCAAATGTTTAGAGTTCCGTTAGTCCTGGAAGCAGTGCAGTAGTAGTAGGCAATAGCTTTTCCGTGAAAAATACTAGATCGACAGACAAAATGCGACAGACAATTCATTCTACGCGGTTTATTATTCGCATAGAATACAAGGAATTCTGTATGCCCATTGCGTGCATACAATCAGAAATTTTCCGCACGGCCGCTGCTTGTTCCATGCAAACCGACTAAACAAACAATTGACATATTTTGAACAACCCACATAGTTACTCAAAGTCCCCGGTCGCTCAAATCTGCTCGGCATCGTTTTACTCTGGAAGTAGCTTGAAAACCTCTTCAGAAGTTCTGGTAAAACAGTCAACCAAGTAACTCAATGGAGTTACTTCTGGGACAGTGGTCAGCTGCCCGTTTCAGATACGTCACTTTCCACCCCCAGCCTAATTTGAATCTCAGTTTTCATTTGGCATTTCTGTAAACGAAGCTTCTAAACCTTCGTGCGTAATTTACTAGGCACCCTGCACCCCGGTTAGTTATTTCCAGTGCAACTTTCCTCAACAGTTTGCACAGCTTCACAGCTGCTTGCATCTTCTCGAAGGCAAAAAAAAATTTGGGTCAGTGCGCTACGTTAGTTATGCTTCTTGAGTTTACACAGGGAGAAAATCTGTCTCCTGGACTGTGGTTCGTTGAATTTTTGAACAACTTCTTTGTATGATTCTTTGCAGTGACTTTGTAGAGTTGATTATTTGCCCAATAGTTCAAAGTGGCCGGAAAAATAATTAGTATGAACAGAAATCTTCGGTGACAAATCACTTTGGTCGATCATTAGGACGGTGGAATAAAATTTCACGGGCGAAATTTTTTCAAAATAATGAAACTTCTATATGAGGAAAAAGTTCGTCAATCAAAATGCCTCGACTTTTGAAAGGATAAAACCTGATATACTGTGGTATATGTTTTCAAACCCATGTATTTTCTTACAGTAAGATCAAGTTTGGAGATTCCCGCTCTCTTGTCATCTTCTACATGGTAGGACCAAGTAAGATGTCTGTCTGATCGTTCTTTTCAAGTTGGCCTGTAAATATGAGTGGATTCTATGCGTGCCACACTGTAGCAATTTTACCTGGTTTACTTGAAGGGTTGAATTATTTGTATAAGGATTTTTCGCCGCATCTCCACTACACATCCGGCAAAATACCACACAAACATACACCGTTGCAATACATTGCAAAATATATTCCGGTCCTCAGGAGACAAACGGGATACAAACAAAAGATCTTAAATGAAATGTTGGAATAAATTTTGCCCTTCCGGATTTCCAAGTGTAATGGGGGGGAGTGCTGGAATAATTAATTACTCCAGATGGTTGAAAACAACTGGATGCGAGGTGGCTTTGGACAAATGCCACTTTCCCTTGCTGTTGTCGGAGTGCCGATGGCTCAACTTAGGAAACGCATGGTCTCACGCAGTTAGTGCGGTGAAACCTTGAAGATAGTTGCCGAACATTATTACATTGGCATTAGAAGCTCAAAATTTTACACAAAAAACCGTGACAGATGGCATTTACTTTCGAGGCTGCTACCGGAGAACAAAATGCGGTACCATCTGTTTTCTGTTTTTTAGTTCACAAATGTAGTGAATAAGGTGCACAGTTTTTCTCACTCCCTCTCATGACAGGACGATTGTCAGTAGAGGACAGCTTCACCCCTACTATCGAGAAAATTTAAGCAGAGCGAATAAGTACCTGACTGACGGATCGGAACAAAAGAGTAGTAATACCGGCCAGCTTCTTGATGGGTGCCTTCTTTGTAAGGTGTCTAGTAAATGCTAAGATGAGATCAAAGCGATAGTTGGGAAAAATCAACTGACGAATGACTACTGTGGTCACCGCCCTTTAGTTAATCCAGTTATTTCCAAGAGATATATTCGGTCCCGCAGAAGAACGTGGTGCCTTTTCTAGTGTTGAGACACCAGCCCCTTCCGTTAACTTGACCTAAATATTACAAACTCGGACTATATGGCTGCATACCGAGTACGGTTGGTAAGTAGCCAGTGGTATAAGGTTGTTAGACTAGACCAAATAACTCGCCAAGTTCACCACATCGGTGTGGGACCAGAAACATCTGAAAAATGAAAGTATATTGGTTCCAGATTAAACGTACGACTCCCTGGTTTCACGATTAGTGGTTGAAACTCTCTCGAGAGTTCAAATAACTTCTTTGTGGCCATTCGAACTACGGTACTGTCACATAAAACTTTCGAAGAATGAGAGATTTGCAATACAATTCATGTTTTGTTGGATATTGGATGCGAAAGAAATCAAGTTACTTGTGGGTGGGTACGTTCTTAAGCTTTCCTCCGTCTTTTTTGCTACTTCAGAAAGACCATTCGGCTAGAAGCACCATTAAATAATAGTGTTATTCAAGGCTTATAAGCTTTACTGAATTCTTCGCTAACAGTTGCTGAGTTGGGCTACACCCCTCCTAAACTCTGTGGACTCCCTCCTGTAGTAGAACGAGCAGTCTTCACTGGTGTGACGGGTTTCAGCTAACAGGAATCAAATGTGTATATAGTGCGAAATTTTGACGTCTCAATAGCGTGTGCTGTAATTTTGCCATATGTGTGCACGTTTCATATATGCTTTGGTAATATTGATCCAACTTTTTAACCGACCAACCGGGCGGCAACATCAGACAGGCTACCCAACTTATTCTCCTATCTTGATATTTTGGAACTATAAGACATGACAGAAGCAATGTAGTTGTTGCTATTGGTAAAGCGCAGACATCGTTTGAATGTTGGATTTGTACTATCGAATTTCCTTTTTTGGAATTCGCCCAACAGATATATCCAAGGCAACGACTTTGGAAACTCCAAGTTTCCCAATACCTGCAATCTAGATCAGTCAGGTTGAACATCTTACAGTAGGACTAGGCGTGTGACTTCCATGAGTTTTTGCCCCAGTACGCTTTTCGATCTTAGTGAAACAGTGTTTAAACTTCATTTTTGTACTTTCCTCAGCGATTCTATGAAAGTTTAACACATATAGATCGTGAATTCTGGGGCTTAAACCGAGACCTGACTAGAGGTCATCTTACTCTTAAGTTGGTCTGTCCTAAAATGTCACATCATCATTATCGCTTTTCCCCATTTATTACTCAGCGCTACAAATTTATCAAGGGTGCCGTCGTTCGGTCCAATCGTATGCGGCTTCTAACCTACTTGTTATTTTTGGTTCGCGATGAAATTAAGACTCTGTCGGATCACGTTCATGGGAATTTGTACCGATTGGCTTTATTGTTACACCCTGTGGTCAAACACACGCAGAGCAAACCATTGGGATTACGAGAACAAGGCGAGTCGCAGAAAAATGCCATTCGTACAGATGAAAATGAACAGGGGGGTAGAACGACTGAAAACCCGGTGAGTGGCTGGTAACGCTGTGACATATGTTCGTTTCGGCAAGGCTGTTAAATATATTGTGCGAAAAATTTTGACTCCCACTAAAATTGAAAGCGGTTAGCATGCAGACAAGCCTTCGCAGACACACCATGTTAAAAGATTCCTAAACGAACATTGGTTGATCAAAACGTACATTGTGCACACTGTGGCGCACAAAAAAAACATTTCAGGGCTACCGTTTTTTTCGGTTTCACAAACAACTGAATATTCGTCGAAAGGAAATCAGTTCGGTACGTATATTTGTTGGATCTTGAGTAAGATGGCCGCCAAATAAAATCACTAAGGTTAGTGTCGTAACTCTTCAACTCCCCTGACTCTACTGGGTTATAGTCAGAAGCCAAGAAGGCGACCAGAAGGAATGGTGTATTAAGGCAATTACAAGTTTCCATATATACGATTCACTTGCCACCGTATTCGATAGTCGATCCACTGTCAACCAACCAGTGTCTCCTGCACGCCCACACCGGTTCTCGGGCGGCTGTTCCTTTGTCTGGGTTGGTCATAGATGGCCGTCTGTGCGCTTGTGTACAGGGTGCCTTGGAGTAGGCGTGAACTTTCTGTGCCCTTTTTAATTCGGCACATGATGAAATCGGACGTGATTCAGACGTGTAGGCGTAATCGCACTGCCCTGTTTGACATGATTGTTCCGCTCCCCAGCCGTATTCGACTGAATCGCTTTCTCGCGCAAAAACCACCTGTCTGCGGATGTCACTGTGTGTACCATCGGTTGCTTTCACTGTCATTCAGGACGAGGATTATTCACAGTAGGCATTGGGGTCAAGATGGTTTGCCACGCAGTTGCATAATGGGAAGCGTGGCAAAGATGTCAACACTGTCTTAATTCCAGCAAGAACAAATTGATTGACTTCATAGTGGCGAAAATAGGCTCCGTAAGACTTCAGAGTAATTGTACTTTAATCCTTCTACATAAAATATGATAATTTCGAGCTCAAGTGGTGGATAAAGAACAAGAATTCGAATTTCACGAAGAAGAACGTGTATATGATATTGGTTGTTGAAAGAAGAACTACCTTACTGCTCCAAGTTGTCTTAAAATCTGGTCTTGAACGTTTTAAGCAATTTCATCCGTCCTCGGATTACTTTGATGGACATCTGGATCAGGAAAGCTTTTGACCAGTGACTTCCAATGTGCTTCACTACAGGCGCATGGTTTTTTTTTAGAATTTTCAAGAGTCATACTGGCACTGCAATCATTAATTAGGCAGAGTAGCTTCCGGTCGCCAAATCACTTTTTGTTTGTTCCGCTGTGTGCATAGTCGTGAGCAACGCTTCCACGTAATAAACAAAAAGACGACTGAGCAAAAAACATGCAATGGAACCTTTTCACCATCCTAGATCGAAATTGGATAAGGGAAATAAAGAATCTTTTCGTGGATCTAAAGCGCCCGATAGCATCACCAACAGTATTTTCTTCAGAGAGGCTTCTAAGTGGACAAAGAGCATATTTTGTGGGGGATACTACGAAGCTTCATTCAAGTGGAAAACCTCGGATCACACTCCCCCCACGTTAAGAGCTAGGCCTTTATGAACCAAAAAGACAGCTTTGGAAAGCAAGTTTCCTGCTGCAATTCCCGAAAGAAATTATTGAGTTACCTGTTTCCATTTACCGTCTAATTCTATAGCAACATCAGTCTACTTACACCGCACAAGTATGGTACGGCAGGGGTAAATCGTCCTAAACTGCGAAATTTTTGACAATGTCGAGGTTTTGTATGATTCTGGCTACGTTTAAATATCCTCTTTATCCTTTTGAAAGCACAGGAAGTAGGAAAAACAGATTAAGGTGCCCACCCATTGGTTGAACAAATGTGTGCTGCGTCTAACTTGCAAACCATGCCGTTTCCCAATATTTTCATTTTTTCTACTATAACGATGAAAGTGTTATCTGCCCTGTTTGTTGTTCAAGGTAGTGGCAACATTTACCCTCGGACACCAAGGTCCGATCGGTTGAAACGTGTTGGCTGGTTACGAAGTTTTACCATGAGGTTCGTTTATACAAGTAGAAAATTCAGAGGACTGATTACGGAGCAGCTTTGTTCAGACCACCCATTTCATAGGTCACGAACAACGCAATTGTTCAAGAAAGTCTGCATTCGTCTGAGGTTCATTTTTTGATCGGTTGGATCCCAACAACTGTTGAGCAGGAAGTATTAATCATGGCGAAAAGCAACGTCCATGTGAATGTGTGAATGTGAATAAATATACTACACATATCCGTTATCAAAACCGAACACCTCGAAAAAGTTGGCTAGTAAATGGAATATGGATTTACTATCCGGAAACCACTTTTGCCTCGAAATTTTAGCCACACTTCGCCCAGCTCTGCACAGGCAAACGAAGGATGAACAAATAGTCTGGCCAAAAGTGTAGGGCCATGGTTGGTGGATTTCTACAACAGATAAATAGGCCTCATTTCTGGAAGGGCTTGAGGCTGCTGTACATCACTCCAGAGCTACAGTCCTTCTTGGTGATTTGAAATCAAAAATCACTTTGGAAGCTTCATGCAGCGAAACCAAAATGCCAAGGGTGACACTGTGATTTTTAAGCGCCAAGCGGTGTGGTGTTTGAAAAGCTGCAAGCCAATATCAGATTGCACACTCCTTGGTCAGGGAGATGAATACACAGAGGGCTCTAAGAGACCCCCTTGCCTAATGGATCAAAAATGTTATCCTACAACTAACCCTTTAGCGATCAATGAATGCAGTATGCTACCAGTTAATGGATATTTTCAGTGACGGGCACAGAGAAGTAATTCAAATTGATCCCCGATAATGGCTGTTCCCATAATCTACTGTCAACTTCAAAATTATTATTTCAATAGCTAAATGGATGTGTAACAGATGCGCCATATTTGGTTTGCACCCTCGATTGATAACGGAATTCTATTAACGCGAACCGTTATGGAGCCTGAAGGAAAGATAGGACTGTAAACCACAGTAAAGAGGAGGAATTTTTTTGCCTTTACGTGAAATTCTAACTCTAATCTCCTTTCTCTGGAAAGTGATACTTTCAGTGTCATTTTTCTAATGATGCTTGTAACAGCTCAAGTAATAACAATGTTTCCCCACACACACAGAGTGAAATATTTGATCAGCCCAAAACCCACAGCCACAAAAATAGTGAAGAAGATGATGATGAGCTCAGCGATAAGGAACCATTGAGAGTGGATAAAATGGAGAAGCTGAAGCACAACATTTTGCGCAGCTCCACAGAGAAAGACCGGTCTTCGACTCGTTCTGCGGGAACCGATGGTACTCATTGCCCTCGACTACAAGGACTTCAACCGGAATTCCTCACAGAATTACTTCACTGCATCCAACGAATTAATCGGCCTGATATGGTACAGTTGCACTCTTCGGCTCTTGATGCTCTAGAAGCCAGGGCTAATTATGAACTCTGGACCGCAGTGAGTGCAGGAATGTTTCTATTTTGCATTTCCTCAAATTGGTTCGCCAAGTGATGAACCCAGTTCGGTCCTCAGGAATAAAGTCTAGGGTAAATCAGACGAACAAAAGCAAGTTTTGTTTTGTTACATTAGTGTTACCCATAGAGTACTGAATACTAATCACTAGAATTCGTATCGTGAAAATTAGTTTTTGGGTGTATTTTCGGGTCATGTAATTTCGGATTCTGGGCTAAAGAAAAGAAGCCATTCTGTGAAGGTAAAGCGCCACAAAGCAGTGTTGAAGCTTGTGGATGGTCGAGCCTAATGTCATCCGGCAATTAGAAGTTGAAGAACAAATTATCAGAACACGCATTCGGAAGCTTGAAACCCCGATTTTTTTCCTTAGGCATCCGTGGGATAATCACATCTGATAACTGTCCGCAAGGAAAAGAATGCTCTTCAGTAGTTCTGTACATTTCCTCGTCGGTGGCCTCTGCTCCCAAGACATAAGCCACAGTTAAGTCTTGAAGAAAAAACATTAAATCCAAGCTGTTTGCTTAGCAATGACGACCAGTGAACCAACCCTCCCAAAACGTAGTTCACGTGACCAGAGGGTGAATGTTGCTGCTGAAGCAATTTATTCAAGCTGCTGATTGGCCACATTCATCCACAAGTGTTTTGTTTAAATTTCCTATCAGGTTAATGAGCATCGGCTGCCGCCATGTATGAAATGGCACCAGTATACTTCCCTTGTCACCATGAGCTGTCATCACTTTCAAGGCGGGAGTGAAACTCTCATTGTGATTAACCAAACTACTTCCTGTCTAACCAAGTGGAAAGTATACGGGAATCTTCGGTTCGCATCACGCATTAACTGGCCAGCATCTGATGCGAATTCGCCTGACAAAGGTGGTCAGACTGCTGAACGTGTAGACGTTCAGCAGTTCAGCTTTTGCAGAAACAAAACATGCTACTGATTGTGAGAGTCTGTTGCGGACAAGATCGTCTGACATCCAGGCAAATCTTTTAATCATGTCCGGCGGAGGTGTTAAAAAAGAACTACAATGTTTGCAGTGAATACACAGGTGATATAAGTGCTGAAAATTTCAAAGTTTACGTACTTCAGACTACCCGCTGATCCTTCACAATGAAAACATGGTGAGAGAGTTGAACTTGAAAATTCCGAACATCCTTATACAGACTTGTCCATAGGTTGAACGATTTCTTGGGATTATCTGTATAGCGACCCTGGTCGTGGCTTTTTCATGATCGAACACCGAAACCCTGTGCACGCAGTTACGCGAAGCCAACAGAGTTCATACTTGCTGGGCACCTCTATTTAGGGCCACATTGTGTCAAAATCCTAAATTAAGGGTAGTATCCTCAATTTTACCCGTAGTCACCGTTAGTATCATATGTCCGGTCTTTCTCACTCAAGTAGATGATCCTTCGAATCTCCTAGTGGCGATTTCTTGGAGCTTGGTTTAAAATGTGAAACTAACCTTCGATTTTGTAAGTCCAAACTCGGACTGGTCTGCTGGTCGGTGATTAGAAAGCCTCAGCGTTAGTGGAAAGCTGAAAATCATGCTGAATCACTACCCTTTACGTCTGGGTTTGATAGATCGTGATGTCCATCACCCAGGCTAATAGCCAGCAATATCTCTGAAATGTTTATTTTTGAGCCCAAGGGATATGCTGAGTGTGGGCGCAAATTCCAGGCGCTCCAGTTNATATAATGTGCCATACATCTTGTGTGGACGCAGAAGTTCAAAACCAACTCAGAAGAGCCAGGATTAAACAGCTGATGCACCTCTGAAACAAACAAGATCAAAGGTGGACCAAAAAGGTGAAGTGATTCAGTCAAACACCGATCGCTGTTAGCATAAAAATCATTATCGGTCTGAGAAATTTCACCGGATCAAAAGTCCATTATCATCAGCTGCTAGAAAACAAAGAAACGGATTGTTAGCTCAAAAATCTCAATAAAATTCTGGTAGCCTGGTAACACCTGCTCAACTTGCCCTAGCATAGAGTGAAAAACTATTAGGTTGACTTGCTTATGGTCACATAACTCCTTGGGCTACAGGTTAACTATAACATAGAGAGCAGTGGCATTGGAACTACTCAGGTGACACCATCCCATCTTTTTCTAGCTCCTGTTTATCAACCAAGTCCGTAGAGGACTTCTTTTATTGTGAAGGTGGTGAGAAAATATGTTCGAAGGGTTTCAGCTATCTTGGGAGAACACTATCCACAGACTTGTCACCTGGTAATGAAATAAACTTAAATCGTAAGAGCCAGCGCTTTATTCGGTTGCCTTGGGAGACATTTGGAGCCGTCACCACTTTCATCTAGCAACAAGAATGTTGCGCACAGGATCGCCGTGCAGTATTCACTACTCTATGGCAATAAGACCTAAACGCTCTTTAGAAGGTATATTTGGATTCTTAACCAATTCCATTTGTGCAAATTCCTATGAATCAAATAGGTTGACCGAATACCCAAATCCTAATACCTTCACAGACCAGATGATGTTGGAATCGAAGGTAGAGTGAAATAGAGACATCACACATTCCGTCAATGAAGCGGCCCTCAATTCCCAGTTTAGGCCACGGAAGGACTTTGCACTCGACCCAGCTGTGTGGAGAACAGTTAACCAACCAAATCTAATAACTTATGAGACGCCATACCTTACAAAGCTGAAAAATGAGTGAGCCGTTTGGAAAGTGTTGATTCTCCTCAATGCAGCCGCGTTTAGGTGGACTTGCACAAAATGCCGACGCATTCTAGAATATCAGGTTAGGAACTATCTATATCTCAGCATACACATGGGATGAGTCAATGCGACGAACATAATATTTCCAGGCAACTGATCTTTACAGACTAATGAACTGTGGTTGTGTGTAAAATTCGTATTGGAAATGCATGAAATCAAGTGGCCTGATTATACATCAAGCAATTTTTCCATTACCCTGTTCTTCTGTTCTCATAACCATACCATTCTAACCGTAACTTAAAATCTGTTGCATTGCCGCATACTTCCAGTAAAATTCTGCACACCGTGCATTGTCTCTGAGCTCTTCTCTTTCTCTTTACAGCCGCTTCTGATGATTGACGCAATGCGTGATTTACCAAACCGTATTGTTGCGACTTCAGTCAGGCTTATGTCTGACGTTTTTGTCCAAACAACCTGCCAACAATTATCCGGTGCGGATAAAAACCAGCAAACTACTCCAACTGCTGAACTAAATCCACAACAGCTCAGTCTAGCCAGCGCTTACTGTGGTTTGTGGTCTGACCTTGTGGAGAAACGGGAGCTGACCAGGTCCAATATTGCACTTTCGCCCAAGAACATGAGACAGTTGGATATGGTCCGTTTAGCCCAAAACAAATTCATGCGTTCTATCGTGACGAACGCGAATTTCCGAACACATAAACCACCAGATGATATCACTATCACTCAAGACCAATATCGACGTAGTTCTGGGCCGCCAACACAGCAAACTGATCAAAACAAATTGTCGCTTATCCGAGATATCGAACAATGGGAAGGGAAGATCGAGGATTTGGTTATAGAGGAGAAGCGTTCTTTTGCATCTCCGAAAAGTTGGCTGAGGAAATTTGGAAATGCTGGTCAGAAATTACCAAAGAGTGGGAAACCTTCGTGACATCTTACGGACTAGCCAGTGATATGGCTTGCACTTTAACCAATATCAGAGAGGTGACTTGGTGTCGCTTTTGCCTGTTCCATCGGCACAAAGCCTCTCGAATTTGTTGCAACAGCAGTTAATACAAATATGTGACCGCCATGTTTTAGAGGACTATGTCTTGAAATTTGGCCCATCTATTTACCAGCCCACCCTTATGGGATTACCTTCGTTTTCAGTGCTTTAAGATTTCGCCAACTCAATGCGATCCGTGCACTTTACTATTTTTTACTTGCCGCGTTATCTAAAAGACTACCTTATCAGAGAGAAGTTAGTATTTTCACTGTACACCACGTAGCTTAAATGTGAAAAAGCCATTTCTAAAAAGGATGAGCTTATTGTAGTTCTCTCTGTCCTCGTACTTGCTACCATGGACGTCTACAAAGAACGCATAGTTATCCAACTGTTTGTCGTTTCATTTCTCCGTCTTAACGCAGCGTCGGTTCGGTTTTACCGGCAAATGGATTATCCTTTATTAACGATCAACCTAATTGCTTTCCATATGTTGACCAATCAGTTTCATCTGTTGGAAGGAATTTCTTGTCAAGGGAATAGAACCATAAACAAGTAAGTGAAAACAAGCTGAGTTCGTTACAGTAAATAAGTCGGAACACAACTAATGAGCGGCCGCGCAGAAAAATCAGAAAAATCTTGACTTCAGCTCAGCCGTCGGTCAACGCTAGGTAAATGTCACCACTAAGTGAAAGTGATCGCGTGCTTTGTGTAGACTAAATACGCTGCCCGCTAGGCTACTGAAAACTCTCGACAGCCTACGACTGGTTTCGCCCTACTTCGGGCTAAGACGCAGTTTCCGGGTCTTCGTCACAAAAATTTGCACAAAATTCGCATACGAATTTGGTTTTGACGGAAGACTCACCTAAAACCTAACTAAATCTCTCCTTTATGATGTTCGTAAGCAACTGAATGTGTTGTATCAGGCTGCCTCCTTTTTCAGTTGACGCATTATTGTTCTCCATTCTGTTCCCAAATCTATTGTCCATACCATATGCAACAATATTTGATTGCACCTTATGGAATGTCACCTCAAAACAATTTCACCAATATTCCGCGGATCACTTAGCAGTTGTATTCGTCCACCCTCTCCGCTTTAAACAACATTTAATGTGTCGGCTCTGCAAGCGGCCTTGTTTAGATGAAGCTATAAAATTCAAGTCAACTTTATGGCTGTCTAGCTCTACAGCATGCAAAACAAAATGAGTCAACTAACTTCGTCAAAAAACATTATTCACCAGTTAAATAACTGTTAGCACTTGTATCAACCAAGCATAATTTGTTCTCATTGCTTCCTATGGAATCAGTTTACTTACGCCAAAAGCGGAAAAAATCAACACTGTAATGCCATTTGTAGAAGAAGGGATGTCCATAGTGATGTAGCAAGACCCCATGGAAACTTCGAAAGTTCTTTCTCTGATCGATACGCCCATTCAGAGGCACACTGACTGGCGATGTTGGGCCACTTCTTGTTTCAATATTTCATTGTGAAAACTGAACGAATTAACTCTACTCGAATCTGTCGAATTGTAAACTATTGCTCAGAATTTTTTTCGATGGCGGCAGCTTAAAAATGTGTTTGCCACGATAGATGGCTCATTACTTTTAATTAAAAGTGCGAGGAATACTTTGTCAGTAACCATTCCACAATCGAGACATACCAGGTACGATTCAACTAAACAGAATGCTTTTGACGCTTTTGAATCCTCACGAAACTATTTCAGTCTGCTTTGCGAGAAACCCAGTTGTCCTGTAGGCTGTCTGGTATAGTGAGTCAACTTTCCTTTCTGAATTCATAACAGGCTGATGCAATGGCCTCTGTCGTACGCAGGAAGAAGCTTCTAAAATAAATGAACAACAGAACAATCGGCTTTCTCGGATAGACGGACTGGAGCCTCAAGTTCACTGGCAGCAACCGTTTCTCTCTTGTGAATTTTACACACCAAGTGTCACACTCGTCAGAAGTCAAGGCGTGAGAATGAAAGTGGATCATTGTTCTTGGTTTCCGTGAAGTTCAAGCCAGGAAGTCAGCTGTTTTAGACAGAATAAGATATGTAATGTAATCACCTGTTTTTAAACTCCCTTCCCACTATGCTCCATCTCAGAAAAGACCAGGGCTAAGCCACACAATCAAATACCAGCGCGGAAGGTATGTCTTGGAATGGACACCTATCAATACCTCATCCACGCTCTGGCTCAAAAGGCTTCCGCTCACCCTCAAGGCCAAATTTGTTTGCGTTCAGCGTGCGCTGGTAGAGTGGTAACATGTTGGCCTTGCATGTCAGATGTGAGGAGTTCAAACCCAAGCACGGGTAGGGATGTTCACTGTTGATGAGCTCTAATAAGAACGAAACTCGAGTCGCTTCCCCCTGTTGGCCTTGCATGTCAGATGTGAGGAGTTCAAACCCAAGCACGGGTAGGGATGTTCACTGTTGATGAGCTCTAATAAGAACGAAACTCGAGTCCAGCGCTTCCCCCTTTCATGTGACTGACCATAGTGATTGCCCCAGGACAGGAGAAGAATTGTACAAACGAGAGGTATCTGAGTGTGCAACCTGTCAGTATCTCACCCCAGCTTTCGCTTAAAACAACTCTGCGTACCCCATGCAGCCAAATAATTCGCCCAGGTTTGACAATAAAGTGAAACGTTTTCCGACAAATGCCCTTATTTGCAGGCAAATTTGGTTTAGACAGAGGTCGGACTAATGGAGATCTCAAGTTGTGGTGCATGCTAAATTTGCCGCCCAGTGCCGCAGGAATTCAGGAGTTTCAGAACCCTAATGGGACTGCGTGATCCTAGTACATTCTTGGACATCAACGAAACCTCTAAACATTTAATTTCTCCCGAGGCGTCCAAAGCTTCAACCCGTATATCGCAATTTCCCAGTCTATAAGAAACGTCGCGGAAAAAGCTGACTTACACAATCTCGAAAGAGTAACCATCCAACATATAGGTAACTCACGTTTCCCGTTCTTCCTAATTTTACCTCCAATTATGCACTACTGTTGTTATAAAGATTTGAGTTCTCTGGATGTACAGAAGACTTCTGAGGCTGGATTAATTTGACGTGTAAAACTTGTGAAGCCAGTGACCACTGCGCCGAAGTACCGAAACCCGCGTCACTGAATCCAGGACAGCAGAGTTCCGTGGGTCATGCAAACAGTTTCGAGAAAGGGGATTGGGTCACTTTGGTTTCATTATCCTTGCTTTAAGGCAGTCAAAGGACTTGACCTAAATGGGATAGGTTTTCTAGGATAACGCAGCTTGCTCTGTAGCCTAGTTGCCTGCTGCTCCAAATGGACTGGACTTGAGGATGGGCGAAAAGTCAATAATAATAATAATAATAATAATAATAATAATAATAATAATAATAATAATCGTTCAGCTGCAGCACCCTTTCGGTGCCAAGCTGCCATGCCACCCAAAGGTTGCATGAGGGCTATGATACTGCCAGTTTGCCCAAGCCTAGACAGGAAAGGTCGAGTGGCTGGTAAATGATATGGTTTTTGCAATTCACTGGCTTCTCAATTATGTCTCTCTGCAGGCTAAAATTTGCACTCTGCCCAGACCCTATGGTGACGGACCAGGTGCCATTTTTGAGTTGTTCGACAGCGACTATTCC